GGCAGACGCCAATTATAACCATATAAAGTATCTAAATGTGCCTATTCATGGCATGCGCCAAGATGAAAAAGCAGAGCTCCGCCACAGGAAAGCACTGAAAGGCAGCAAGCATCACCCGTCACAGGTCTCGCAATCGACGCCAGTGAAGCGGTACCTTGCGTCCTTAACGTCTCGAAGGTTTCGTCAATCGTTCTTGCTGTACTTTTGACGATCGTTCAACATGGTTCACCGTCCAACTTACAAAGGACAATACGTTCTATAGGAATCGATTGTTAACATAACGTCTATTGGTCGTAGCCGCCGCGTACTAGACGTCTTCGCACCAGTGCCCCCCGGTCATTTCCACCGATGCCTCGCGCTCGCCGAGACGCACGATCGGGTAGAGTGGTTCGTCCGTCGGCACGAGGCGGAAGGGCGAGACAAGCATGTGGCCATTGACTTCGAACGAAATATCGCGCGCCGCTTGGTTGAAGGACGCGGTGACAATGAGCTTCCCGCGCTGCTTGGGAAACGGCTTCTTCTCGTGCGCCGAGTAGGCGTACCCGCGCTCGCAGCCAAAGAAGAAGCCCGGGTGCAGCGCATGGCCCTTGTTGGGCTCAAACTTGGCGCGCGTTGTAAAACCAATGTCGACGTGGTGGTGGGCGAGCACTCGGACGGAAAAGAAGGGCGACGGTGCCGTCGACAGGACACTGCTCCAGCCCAGGCCTTTCTGCACCACGACCAGATTGTGCATCTGGAGCTCCAGCGAGTGGCCGCAGTACGTTGGGTCCCACTCGGTTGGCACGAAGCTCAGCTGGAGGTAGTCGAGGAGCCGGCGAAACTCGCGCACGTCTGCGGATGCCAGTCCATCAAAGCTCAGTGTTCCGGTCCGAAGATACGCCACGATCCGGTCAAAGTACGTGGGCTCCATATCGATAAAGTACTCGCCTAGTCGCAGGACGTGCATATTGACTTCAGGATCGTGCAAGACGATGGAAGGTACCGCGCGCGTTGGGCTGCCACAGCGCCGATTCTACCATGGTCGCAAAGTAGCTGCCTTCGAAGCGGAGCAGGTTGCTTCGCGTCGTCGCAAAGCACGTACCACCGACGTTGAGCGTGACCATCTCGGCGGCGGCCATCGCAGCCGCGGCGACACGTGCCTCCATGGCCGGCGTCACGGGATGGCCTAGAGGCTTGGGCGTGCGCCGGTAGCGCTCGACCTCGCGCTCCATATGCTGCAGAAGCTGCATGGCATCGACGACGCCAGGACTCTTGAGCTCGAGCTTGGCCTGCGGCGCGAGCTCCTTCTTGATGCGGTCCCAGCGCGCCGCCACCGCGTCTTCCACACGCATGAGGCTTGGCCGGCTTCGACCGAATTGCACCGAATTGCAGATCCAACTCTGGAATTGAGTATAATCTTTTAAAGGATGTCGCTGGATTGCGCGATTGGCTACGTGCACGCAACCAAAGTCAACGTTGCGTGTGCATCGAGGTACAATGCGAGGTTTAGCTAATTGCACCATGTTGAAGTTGGTTGGCGTCATGAAATCGACGCGCCATAGCACGCAGAGGAGAGCGCAACAACGAGTGCCTTCCTGGGCATGTACGCAGCGCGCAGCGTGACGTAGCAAAGCAACAACCTTCACCGTCGGCCGGTAGCTCATGCTCCTCCAACTTCTTTGGCCCATGAATCGAGTTTTAGAGTTGTTTCCGATGTATTGAAAGATAGAGGTCTGGAGCAGGTGCACATTCACAAAACTCGGCCTTGCACCCCAAGCTCCTCGACTCGCGTTCCCCCTCATCCAGAGCTTCTGTCCCTACGCTAAGCTCAAGCGGTGGGTCGTCAAGACGACGATGGCGGCATGGATCCGTGAGTCAAAGATGAGCGGTGTGTCTTTTGCGGCTTTCGAAAAGGCTCACATGGTGTACTTGGAGGTCGAGCAACGCTACCTTCATCATCGCGTCTCGATGTAGTGCGGCATCTATCAGCACTTCACCCCAGTCATCGCACCTGTCGAATTTGTGGACTTTAACGATTGGCCCTGCCGCGGTATCTCGAGAAAATCGACGCGCCACCAGTTGACTCGACTTTGAGGTACTTTGAGCCATTGATTATGGGCCATAAGTCGTCGCTGACAGGCGAGTTCCTTCAGACGGACCACACGTTCCGCGTGGCCAAGTTCGACAAGGATGCCAACGGTGAGGAGTACAACTGCATGGCAACAACCATGAACAAGCACCAGGAGGTGAATTACCAAGCTGCCCAGGACAGCCAACGCTCTTTACTATAAGCTAGCATTTAAGAATGTACGTTTGCACGATGGATGCGATGGAAGATAGTCAATCGCCTCCTATACTAGTTATGGAGCCTTCCCGTGCGAACGTCAATTGGAGTCGTGTGTCAAAATTGGTACTCTAGGATCCAGCGATCCTATTCGTCGTTGGGAATTGATATACAGGCCTTTGATTGGCTGTTGCAGTGTCATTCCGAGGCGCTTTCCATTGGCTGGTATCTGCCACAAATTGTGTTGGCAGGGGTTTTTATTCATGTTTTTATGTTTGTGTTTTACTGTTAATCGTATCTAAATATATTTAAATATCTAAATTATTTCGGCCATTAAAACATGGAATAAAAACATCAACCAACGTATGCAATGACGGCGGGATGCAAAGGCAGCGACGCTCGCCTGGAGTTCTACAAGACGAATGAGCTGTGGAACAAGATGCAGTATTGGCACGTGTGCTTAACGTCGCTGGTGTCCGCCAAGCTCTTTTTGTGGGAGAAGAACCCGCTCGCCTTTCGCGTCACGGCGTCCGAGTTCATCGGGCCTGCGCCCGCTTTCGACTTCTGGAGCTACGTGCTCGCGACCAGCGGCGACCGTTCGGGCCTCGCCAAGCTGGCGCTTGCCGTGCTCTCTGCATCTGTCAACACGGCCACGTGCGAGCGCTTCTTCTCCAATTTTGCCCTCGTGTGGACGGCTAAGCGCAACCGGTTGCACCCTGACAAGGCCACAAAGCTGTGCCACGTACGTGCAGCAGTCCGCCGCAAGAACAAGCCGGTCGCAACGGATGGGCCCCACGCAGAAGCGCCAGGTAACGACGCTACCAAGCGCTTTATTGACGCGACGGAGCGCAAGCAAGTGGAGTCAACGGCAGACGTACAACGCATCAGCATGGCGCACTCGGCGCGCGCTCGTGTCGGTGTCAACTCCGGCGCCATGGCTGTCGAAGGCTGCGCTCAGGTCACCAATGCGGCAAACGACGACAGCGACGACGACGACGCGGTCGCTTCCCATCATAGCACCGATGGCCGAGAGCTCGTATGTGAATGGTTGGGCATGCTTGACGACCTCGAGGTCGACGAGGACGGAGCTGACCACGCCGCCGATGCCAGCGACGATACCAAGACGCAACTACCCCTACCCGAGCACAACGATCTCTCTTATCCGCAAGAGCCAACAGGCGCGCGCCTCACCGGTATCCGCGGCCACAAGGCGACTCTCATGGCACTCTTTGGCGGTCTTGATCCCTCCGACTGGGACTTTTGATCGTGATGACGCAATCCAAGTTTGATGATTACGTAATACAATTGGTGTATAATGATGTTTCAATCCAAAAGAAGGAAAAAAACATTTAAATATTTAAATATATTTAAATATTCTAAATAATAAAAAGACGTGTTCAAATCCAACACTGGCCACAATGGCTAATAACCGGTACATCGTCCGGAAAATCGAGCCCCCGATCCCGGGAAAACTCCGGGCGACTGCCATTGGAATTTTCTGCACGATCGGCAAGATGGCCAAGGCCAGTGGCGCCGAGCTGGGGGCGTCATCAAAGGGCGACGCCGCGGCGGCCAAGAACATGTACAGCCGCTGCCTGCACTACGTCCGCGCGCATCTAGAGGCCGATGTGCTCGCCGGTCACCCGCTCTATGCTCGCACACCAAATGTCAACGCCCTCGTCGGTCGCACTGGCGCCTTGACCATCGACAATACGCCGCTCACTGAGGACCTTTACATAATTTTTGCAGCGTATCTTCAACACGGCGACAAGGGCAAGATGGCCGCCATGTCGGCCATTAACTACATGACCACGCTCGAGCGCCTGCACCGCGAGGCGCTCAAGCACAACGACACGGCCCCGCCGCTCGGCCTGGATTACGTGGCACACGCGCGCGCCGTCATGCGCGCCCTCTACCAAGAAGAGAGCCAGATCGCTGCCCAGACGACGACAAAGGCGCCTGCCTCCCCGATGCTCGTCGCAGATTTCGCGACCGTCTGCGAGACGCTCTTCAAAGAGAACGATGCAGGCCGGCGCCAGCACAGCTCGAGAGACCGCACGCTGCTCACGATGCAGTGGAGCGCCATTGGCACGGGCTTGGACATGGGCGGCTTGTGCTACGCCAACTTAATGTGGAAGAATGACCGTCTCGTTGTCGCTGTGAAGCACGAATCAACGGGCGAGATGGACCAGCTTCCGGTCGTCCATGCCGCGCTCAACTAGACGCTCGACCCGCTGCATGCGCTCGCCTGCCAGCTCGCGTCCACGGCCGACGACACGAGTCGCCACGTCTCCCAACAGCTCGCGCAATCGAGCAATGGCACCAAAAAACATGCTGCGCACATCAACCAAGTGCTCAAGCGCCTTAGCGACAAGGACCACTGCGGCGTTCTGACGCCGCATCGTCGGCGGCAACGTACTGCAACATCCGCTAGCATCCACGGCGACGACCAGTTCCCGGACCTCGCCAGTCGCGGTAGCTGGTCCATGGACGCGCTGGATACGACGCTGAAGAACACGCAAGGCGACGCTCTTCGGATCGCGCGCCAACGCGCGGGCTGGTCGCACCCGCGTCTGTCGCATGCCGCGCCACTTTTGACGGCAGCGCGTCGCCCGGTCGAGGACGGCGACGTCTTGGACCCGATGATCGTCTTTGCAGACAAACTCTTTCACAACTACAGCTACGGCCAGGCGCCACGTGTCTCCGCGCATCTCCTTGACTTGCTTGCCGCCACGCTGCTGCTGTACTTGTCGGATACGATGGCGGTGTGTGCGAACCATGCGGTGCACGTGGCTCTGTTTGCCGCTGCCGCCAGTGTCGGCATCACCCAAGACGAGCTCCTTCAACGTGGGCACAGCATCCGACGGGCCTTCTGTCTCGCCAATGCCCATCAGCTGCACGCAACGGCAGTGGTCGAGGATGCATCGATGGAGAAGCTTCTGGCGCTGCAGCGCGCCACGGCCCTTGAAGTGTCGGCGCTGACGTCGACGGTCGACGCACAAAATGTCGTTGTCCGCAAGATGCAAGCCGACATGGACAAGCTCATGGCGACGTGCCACGAGACAAACGCGCTGCTGACCACGCTGCTTCAAAGCGTGAGCACCAAGACGCAGGCCGTCTCAGCAGGTCGTTTGCCCGTCCGAGCAGGTGCCACCACCAATCATTTGCCCACGGGCGATTCAAAATGTACTAGGAGATGCGCGTTTGTCGTTGGAGGTGTTCGGAGAAGAGTCCGAGTCGGACGACGCTGGCGCGCCGAGCAGCGAATGACCCATCGAGTCGCTCTCCGGCATCAAGTTCAGCGACGGTCTCTTCATGTTTCTTGCCAACGGCTTGGTGAACCTCCCGCGCGACCCGAGCAGCAACCACCAGGCCACATTGAAGGCTGCGTTGCGCCAGGCACAACGCAGCCCCGAGTTCCGGGACGTCGTCTCGGCCCATCGCTCGGGCCGCTGTACCCGGTCGCAGCTGTTTGCCGCATGCGAACAAGTCTCCGAGGCAATCGACGCAGAGATCAATTGCTTCATCGAGCAACGAGCCAAAGCCACTGGGTCGTCGACGCGGAAGCGGCAACGGACGAGCCAACGGTCCATCTCCGACGCGGTCGAGCTCCTGAAGAAAGCGCGCCACAGTCGGAACCAGTTCAGCACCGCGAACCAGACGACGGGTCTGGTGTCGTCGTCAATGTATGAAAGAGAGACATCTATCGAGATTCCTTGGTACATGCTTAGCGTTTCGCGTGCTGTTGGCTTGCCCTGACACTAGCCGCAATAAGAACTTGTTGGTACTACCTCTCAGACGACAAACACTAGCTCTCGACAACCAGCGAGACCAGACCACCATGCTAGAATAGGTCCCACGCCATACAAACGATACATCGTGGTGTTGTGGCAGAAGCAGCAAGCGATAGAAGTGAGAACGCTGGTCACCACTCGTTCGCCGAGCTGTTGGACAATAGTCGCGCTTGCATTACTTCCAACGATCCATTCCGTTCTGAAATCACAACCAAATCGCCCTCGTCTTGCCATAGCGCATGACCGACGGTGTGTACGCGTCGCGCCTCGAGACGTTCAAAGACGCGATAGCCGCCATCTCCAAGGCGGTCGGAGATCACTTGGGGTCGATCGTCGACAAGCAGCTCGACGAGCTCGCTCTGCGCACCGAAGCACTCGCCGCCATGGAAGCACGCATGGCCGACGAAGCGGCGACCGCCGACGCCACGATCACACTCAACGTCGGCGGCTCGATCTTTGCCACGTCGCGCGAAACGCTGCTGCAGTTTGAAGGCAGCTACTTTGCCGCCATGCTCTCGTCGGGCTCGTGGCAGCCCGGTGACGATGGCGCGTACTTCATCGACCGAGACCCACGTCACTTTGAGCGCGTCATGGCATTTCTCCGGTCGGGTGCCGTCGACTTTGACGGGCTTGATCGCGTCAACGCCGCAGTGCTCTATGATCATTTTGATTACTTTCTGTTGCCGCTCCCACCCGTGCCGTGGGATGGCATGTACTGCCACCCGCAGCTCACGCTCTCCGAGACGATGACCGTCGCGACTGCCGATGGTGCGCTGACGGGGAAATGGAACGTTTTGGCCACACGCGCAGTGCGGTCGTTCACGGTCAAGCTGCCTGCCTCTCATACGACGATCGACATTGGCTACATGACGCGCGACCAGTTTTACGCCTCCGGTTCTCCGGGCACACTCTTTTTTTCGTGGCCAAACGAGATACGTAGCGGTGCGTACGGCGAAACAACCACAATTGCAAACCCCGTTCACGCAACGGAGAACGTGATGCTGTCGTGCGTCTGGGACAAGGCGATGAGTGCCCTCCGCGTCCACGTCAACGGTGTACTTGTCCCGGACTGGACTGAGTCGGTCGTTGGCGCACCCTACTTGTACCCATGCGTTCGTATCGCCTCGGCCAACGCCCGCGTGGAACTCTCGTCGGTCGAGGCGTTGTAATGCTCTCGCCAGCGAGGGAGAGAGAATGCCCTCGTTGGGAATGCTCTGATTTGCCTACTATGGTTGAATATAACGGCTTGATCGTCCTGGTTGTATGTTGTTGCCGTGGCCGACCCATGAGGTCGACCAGCGACCAGAGCCTTTAAGATACGTACTAACTTGCACCATTCCGCGTCCTTGCTTCCTTCGAGATCCGGGTTGCCCACAACAATGGATTCTCTATGAAGGAGCCACGATGATTGATCGGAGACTCTCTCGTCATACGATAGCAATAGATGGATTAACATGACAGCCAAAGGAACGCATTCGGACGTAGTGCCGACTTGACGCAGGTCGGTAAACTCGTCGGCGCCCCCACTCTGCCCCAATTCTTAGTCCACTTCAGTCTCGGCGACGTCGTTGCCCGTGGGTGAGGCCTGCGCGCTGTGGCTCGAGTCGCGAATAAAGAGCGCCGTCGACTTTAGCTGACGCCGCGTTGTATGTAGTAGCTCGACCCAATCAACGACATGTTCATATCAATCGCTTGATCGATGAGCGCTTGGAGCGCGATCGACACTTCTTTCGAGAGCTCTTGGAGTGGCACGCGCGTGTCTGCAATGACGAGCCGGTCGCCGTAGGTAGCAAGCGATGCGACGTGGTGGAAGCGGAGGCCTTCGTCGCGGCGGATCCACGGTGTCTCTTGAATGTCGTTGACGTCGACGTCGGACGTTTGCGGCGGCTTGGCGATCTGAATCGCATCGCTTGGGATGTGAAAAACCCTCTCGAGCTCGGCCAGCAGCGCGTCCATCCAGTGGATGCCGGGTGTCTCGGGTGAAAATGAAATCTCGACACGGCACCCAAACCGAAGCGTCGACCGGTCAAAGAGCACGACCGAAAAGAGCGTGTGCGACGACGGCAGCGTGTCGACAGCATCCAGAATCTGAACCGCAAACTCGCGGTTCTCATACAAGGTGAGCGCCGAGGCTTCGCCGAGCGTCCTTGCCCCGTGACTATATCACGTGTTTTACTTTCCCTGGAGCTTCCTCGCGCGCTATGGACAGCTAGAATCAAGGCCTGCCAGCCTATAACACTAACCCGACGCACTAAAGATCGGGGATACGGTTGCGTGAAACTAGCCAGTGGAAACGGCATGCAAGAGCTCTCGGATGAGAGCCTCCGCCTGATCGAAGCCGAGTTTGATGCCCACCGACGCCACGTCGAGGCGACGCGCGAAGCGTACGAGCGTCAGAAGGCGGCGGCACTCACGCAAAAGGCGGCCGATCTGCGCGCGACGCTCGGCGGCCTCGACGCCCAAGTGGCCGCTTCCCGGGTCGCCCGTCAAACCTTGCGCTCGCAGCTACTCACAAAGAAGGTCCACGTACAGTCGCAGATGGCGCAGCAACTGGAGCTCCAGCGAGAAGCGTGGCACGTCACAAGAAGCCACGAGCTCGAAGAAGCGGCGCGCCGGCGCTTGGACTTGGAGCAACTGCAGCAGAAACGACAACATCTGGTACATGCGACTACACTCTAGCCAGCACGTCAATCTCTTTTTGACTAGGAGCGCCTTGAGCAAACATCCATGATACAACTGGATGCGATTGATGCCGAGAGATCGCGCCGGCGGCAGCGCGACGTCAACCAGATTGAACACTTGCTCGTCAAAGGGTCGGTGCTCGAGCGCCAGCTCCCGCACGACGCCCTGCTGGATATTGTGGCGGAGACAACACCAACCATCCAGTCGGCTCACTTTGCCAACGAGTGCGAAGGTCGACTGCGCATCGAGCACGAGCAAGCGACGCACCGACGTCACGACCAGCTTCGGCAGCTTAACGCGGACCGCGCTGCTCTTGAAGAACGCGAGGAGGAGCTCCGGCAAAAGCAACGCGAGCTCCATTACTTGGCGTCCAAGGGCGTCGACTTTCTCGTTGAGATTGAGTTTGGGCACGCGCCGCCGGTTGAATTGATTTTGAAAAACATGCCGGACGAGATACCGGCGCCGGATACCGACGTCGACACGATCGACGACGTCCTCGACGACGCAACCAAGTGGCTCGCGTCTGGTACCTCTTCATTGTGGTGACGGCATGATTTCTGAAAGTGGAATGCAGGCGATGCGACGCTGGCCTCTATTGCTCAGAGCATACCCTTGTCAACGCTTCCAGTGCCGTGTCCCGTGCGCCCGGTGTCACCGCTACCAAGAACACCGACTGCAATGCTCTTGCAAAGCCTGGTGTGCGATCTGATCGACCAGATTCTGGAGACACTGCCAGCACCGCTGGTCAAAGCCGACGTCTTGGCGCAGCAGCGCATCTGGAGAGACACCCGGCGGAATCTGCGCCGCGTTGCGCGCCGGGAGCGATATCAGCGTGCGATCCATCACGTGCGCGATGCGCTTGTGGTAAACTTTATCATGTCTATCCGTGTACCACTGTCATGTAGGACGATGTTGTCCATAGTATGATACTGGATCTGTGGACCGAGGCATGTGCGGCGCGGCACGGCGTCCGTAGCTTGCTTCTCACGGCGCTACAACGCGTGCTCTGCCAGCCAGACCAAAACGAGGCGGTGTCGAGTGCATTGGAAGAGCTCCAGACGCGCCGGCGCCGTCAAGACCAAGTGGATGCGAGCTGTCTCGTTCTTATATCTTCGGTGCTGCGACCGAGACCACCCCCGCCACCGACGACGGCGTTGCCGACGAAACCAGCGACTGTGCAAGTCTACGCAGCGCTCCCGCCACCGATGGAGATTGCCAGGCGACGCATCGCGCCGCCGGAACCGACGATGGTACGAATGTTTCTTTTTCATTGTAGTATCGGCACACCGGTGGATGGTAGGTGACGGTGCAGCGAGCGTACTGGAAGCATGTGCGATTGACGCCGGTTGTCCTCAGCGCAAAATCGCGCCACAGTATTGATCATGTCTTGACGCGTGGACGGCATTTGTACGTTGTCGGTACCAAAGGCGACGTGACCGTCATCGATATGACCACCGACGTCGTTGTGCGCGAGGTCCAGGGTTCGAACCCGATCACGCACCTAGATATTGGGTTGATGCCGGGGTATTTTCTGACCGTCTGCAAAAAGCAAACTGCCTTGCTGTCCGTCAACGCTGCCAGCCTGCGCACCGTTGCAACGTGGACGAAAGCCGACCTGACGCGACCAAGCTACACCATCGACGACGTGGTCTTGGGCCACATTTGGCCGTCGATCTCGATCGTCGGCGCTCCCACGAGCGTGGTTGTCGGTACCAAAGACGGTGCTGTCGTTCGCCTCCAGCTCTGCCGCCCGCAACGCGCTGCGTCGACCGACACCCGGGACTTTTTCCATGGACACAACAGCCCGATCGTGTATCTTGGACACCGGGGCACGGACCTTGTGAGCGTCGACGTCGCCGGAGTCGTGTGCTTCTGGACCACGGCACCGCGGTATCGCACGGGCTTTGGTTGGTGGGCGCCGTCGGCGACCGTCCATCTCAACTCCACCGTGCACGCGGCAGAGATCACATCGACCGGTGCCCACCTCGCACTCCTCGTCGGCGGCGCTGGCTCGACGCAGATTCTGCAGCTGACCCTTCCAGACCTCGCGCTCGTCCCCGTCGAGATTCATCTCCCGCGCTTGCGACCGCCGTTTGAGTTGGCGCTGCTGCCACCCGTCGAAGGTCTCCCGGGGGATTCCGCGCTCGTTTCGTATGAAGGTATTTTGTTTGTTTACTCCCTCTGGACTGGCACGGCCGTGAGCTCGACACCACTAAAAGAGACCATGGTCTCCTTAAGCGCGAGTCATGACCGCATCCTTGGTCTCGTCAAAGGCAAGATCGCGTGCTTCCGCGTCGACGACGCCACGTCAGCGGCCGACTTTGCAGCCAGCGTCCACCACACGAATGCACGCCCGGCTCCGACCATGGTACGCACGCCGGATGGATGTTTTGAGAGCTGAGCTGTGGTATAGATTCGTCGCATGGAGGTCCAACTCGACCGACGCGCGATGCAAGCATACCTTGCAGCGATGTTGTGGGACATCGCTTTAACGCCACCGTCGTCGATGAACGAATCATCCGCAACGCATCAACGTAACGAGCAATAATCGCAGTAGAGGGATGATCAACCGCTAACATTTTCCTCGAGACAACTCCATGAATGGGAATGCACTAGTGTTGCTTGTTTTCCTGGAGACTTCGATGCGGTGACGGTTGTTTCACATGAAACTCTCAACATTTTTTGGATTGAAGCAATGCCACAGTCGCCCGAGAGCAGCGACCCGGCGTCGCCGGTACCCAACGACGGCGCCGTCATGTCGTGGTCGATGCCTCCGATGGACGGCTCCCCGCCGACGGCCCGCGGTGGTCACTCGATGCTGCTGGCAGGGCAGCAGCTGGTGCTCTTTGGGGGCCATTATTTCGGCGGCGAGGCCGGGTTTGTGTACCTGAACGAAGTATGGGTCCTCGACCTCGAGACGTCGGCGTGGTCTCAAGTCAAGTGCGAAGGCAAGCCGCCCGCGCCGCGCTACAGCCACTCGGCGACGCTCGTCGGTACACGCATTTTTCGACGAGGGACATACATCTTATTGTCTTATTGCGCGGTTCAATTAGGGGCCAAGATGTTTGTGTTTGGCGGCAAAGGCGACAAGGGAAAGATCTATCGAGACATGCACTACCTCGACCTCGAGACGTGGCACTGGTACGTCGTCAACTGGACGACCGAGTCGCCCCCCGAGCGGCTTGGCCACTCGGACTTGGCCGTCGGCACCAAGCTCGTCTTCTTTGGCGGGTATGTTGTACACAATTTGATAGACAATGTTGACCATGAGTGTGCTAGCTGGGACGGCCAGAACAAGACCTTTAAAGATCTATGGGTCTTCGACACTGAGACGTTCGCGTGGCTCCAGCCCCACGTGGCGGGGACACCGCCGACGGCTCGGTATGGCCACTCGATGGCACTGCTCGACGACGGCCGCATCGTTCTCTATGGCGGGTACACTCTTTGATATCCACATCTTGTGCAAAAGCATGTCCATATCTACTACAGACAATCGGTCAAAACGGTGCCCGAAGTCCGCGTCGAGTATTTCAACGACTTGTACACGCTGGACACGGAGACCATGGCGTGGATGCGGCCGCGCGTCACCGGGGACCAGCCAATCCCGACGTTTAGCCACACCATGACGATGGTCGGTCGCACGCTGTACATTGTCGGCGGCTGGTCGGGCACGGAGCGCAGTCCCATCTACATGGGGGACAAAGCGATGCGGACGACGGCCAAAGCGCTGGCGCGCGAAGAGGTTGACTCTTTTCCTTCAACCGACAATGACGATGACGGGTGTAGCGGTTGCAAAGCGGGTATGACGCGCAGCCCGTCGACTACCGCCGGCTCCTTGGGGTCTCCAAATACGTCCACGCGATCGACTGCGATTCGATGGTGTGGTCACAGCCCATCTCAGAGGGCTGCCACGTCACGAACCGGTATGGGCACAGCGCAGCGGTCGTGGGTACCCACCTCTTTCTCTTTGGTGGCTGGGACGGCAACCGGTCGATGAACGAACTGGTCGTCGCGGATCTTCCGACACCCTCTCCGTAGCTTGGCGTAGGGCGTACACTTTGTTGAAGCCATCTTGACATATCACCCAATCAAAGTATGTGTGGGCTCGACGCAGACATTATATTCTTTCAACATGGCCTTAACCTTCCAACGTCGGGAGCAATAAAGGGCGCGGGTGTATTTGATGGTTGCTGGATCGCGAAACGAGCTTTTCAAATGTCGAAATTTCGTATTCGACCGCATTGATATAGGAGTTGACAGTGTGGTTCCTCGGATTCAATCGTTAATCCTTGGCACTGCGGGTTGACATATCATGTGCACTCGAGCCGTGCTCGTTCGGCGACGTCCAACCCTCACTTTGAATGTGACCCGGGGTGGTGTCAACTGTGTTCCAACCAAAGGGGATTCAACTCGGTTGACCATGGAGGTATCAAACGAATTAGGAATACCGGTACGAGATTCGACGAAGACCGATCTTTTTTTTTAATTGATGGCAAGCCAAAGATTCTGCAGGGCCGCGTGACCGGCGGTGTACTCTGTGGATTACAATGGCGTCTTGAAAGAGGACGTCAGAAGGTATTAGTAGCCGAAAACGCTAATTTCCGTTGGCCAAACGTCCTCGTCTCTTGTTCTTCTTTCTCCAAATCCGACAATTCTATTTAGAGCCGATTCTAGTGGTCAAGCGACGTCCCGGGTCACATGTTTTAGAAACCATTATAAAGAGGGTTAGGTGTACACGAGCCGACGAATGCTAAAGTTCATCGAGTCCGTGACGTAGAGCACACCATCGGGGTCGATGTAAATGAACTGGGGACCGCTGAACATGGCAGCACTGCCTGCACCGTCTTGCATGCCGTTGGAGCCGGGAATGCCGGCGATCGTGATGACGTTATCATTGGCATCGATCGCGCGGATGCAGTGGTTGCCAGTGTCGACGACATAGACCGTACCGTCCACATCGACCGCGACGCCCGTCGGGGTGTCAAAGGCGGCGCTGGCACCGCTGCCATCCGAGTGGCCCGCCGTGCTACTGCCAATGTTGGTGACGCTGCCGTCGAGGGCGATCTTGCGCACCATATTGCCATCCGTGGCGTACACAACGCCCGATGGCGCCATCGCCAGCGCATACGGAAATGCATACGTCGGCAAGGGCCCCGACGCTTGGCCCGAGACGCCCGAGCCCGAGAACGTCGAGACGACGCTGCCGTTGATCGAGCGCAGCTTGTAGTTGTACGTATCGGCGACGAGGATCGTAGAGTTGGCGACGGCGATGCTCTTCGGCATGTAGAACGTGGCCGTGCTGGCGCTCCCGTCGGCATCGCCCATGACACCGGTGCCGGCGACCGTCGTAACGACACCGTTGGCGTCGACTGCGCGCACGGCGTTGTTGTCGGAATCGGCCACGTACAAGATACCAGCAGACCCGGATCGCGTGGTATGTGCGAGCCCTTGGATACCGTTAAAGGTGGCGCTGGAGCCGGCGCCGTCGGTAAACCCGCTGCTGAAGCCGCCGGCGAACGTCGTCCAGCTGCTCGTGTTCGTATTGATGCGCATGATGGTTGTGGGTGTGTCGGCGACGTACAGGTGCGTACCGTTGCCAGCAATGCCGAACGGGGGGTACACAAAGGACGTGATAAGGCTGTTGCCGGCAAAAGTCGAGACGTTGTACGACCGGTTGGCGAGTGGCATTGACGACGGCGACGGCGTCGGTGTCGACGTCGGTGTCGGTGTTGGTGTGGATGTCGAGTTCCCCGTTCCGGCGTCGGCCGTCGCATTTCCCCATGACGGGATCAGAACGACGCAGAGGGCGGTAGTGACGAGCACCACCAGCAATAATCCCATGAGAACACCCCAGCCCTTGACGCCGCGATGTTTGGTCTGTACCGTCCCATCGACGTTCTTCGATTTGGCCGCGGCATCGTCGAGTCGCACGGCAGTTGACGCTTGCGTCTGCTGATCCAATGTGGTAAGTGCACCGACGACGGCGGTCATCGATCGCTGCTCGGATCCGGATTGACGCAGCTCACGCGCAAGCGTCCAGAGATCCACAGGCATCGTGTCGGGGCGGCGGTCGTCGTCCATCGCCGCTTCAACCACGCCACGGTACGCCTCGATGAGGCAGCCGCCGAACGCGCACACGTCGGCCGCCTGCGCATCCGCGAGACTCAACTCGTCCTCGATCGGGACGTCGCGGTGGCCACTCAGGCTAGCCTTGTAACCACCACCGACGGCATCGAAGACGCCAATAGCCGCGCACGACACGTTGCCGTGATAGTAGCCAAGGTCGTGCGTCGACGCGAGATCTTTGGCGGCGTCATTGAGCAGCTGCAGTCGCATCGGCGCCGACACTTGGACGAGCCGGAGAAACACGCGCAGCGAGCCATAGTTGGCCCCGAGGTCGAGGTGACCGCTACTGTCCGACGGCGTCTCGAGAGGGGGAGGTGCGTCGGGGGGTGAAATTTCGACCGCCACCGCGTCAAGATCCTCTGCATCGGGAGGGGGAAGTGGCGATGGCACGGCGACCTGGGGCACACTGTTGTCCCTCGTCAGAGCGGTGGCGGTTGCCATCGGTGCGCTGGCGGTCGTCGTCGGTGCAAGAATGCGTACACTGACACGCCGTGAATAGCAAATCCAAAGCCAAATTTAGGTGTCTTTTAGACGCCATCTTGTACGAGCCAGTATATTAATGGCGTCTTCCAATTCTTAAAATGGCCTCGCCGCGAGGGAGCTTGCAAATCCAGTCTTTTCATCAAGCAAGAGAGAAATGAGCGCCGTGGAGAGACGCGTCAAGGGACTGTATGTGGTGTCGTATCTCCTTGACGCACACTGGCCCTGCGCCCGTGGGAAATACTCATGGCGTCGAGGTAACTAGCTACTAGTATATATGTGAGCACGATACCGACATTTTAGCTTAGCCCATCACAAGACCACGCACTCGCAACGTGTTCAGGGTACGTCTGAGACATAGTATTATGTCTGAGAAGCACTGTCTGAGAAGGGCGTTTGGAACCTTGATTGAAGGCCATGGTATGTCACACACCACGATCCGACCTGTTTAGAAAAGCGAGCTCTCCGGCTGCCACGTCACCAAGATCGTCAGGATCAAAAATGACGTCGTCGTTTCATTAGTGCCCGCCGTCGAACAACGCCGTCAAAGTTTCCGAGCCCGCAAACGTCGTAGACCGATGCACGTGATGGAACTTGAACTGGCGGCGACGAAAAGAGAGGTTGCGTTCCGTAAGTGAGCGAGGTGAGGGGGCGATTTAAAATTGCGCGGATTTTGGAGAAAAAAAGCGCGGGGCAAAAAACGGCAATGCGCAAAATACAAAAATGCGCGGACTTGAGCACAGATGGTTGGTGTCGTCTGCTCGCGGGAGACACGTGTGAGGCGTATGTGGTACTCGCAACGTAGAGACCTTTTGCTCTGCTCGCCCATATTTGGGCACCATCTAGAGGGACGGTGCTCTTTTAGCAATAGTCGGCTTCAACTTTACTCTTTGTCGACCACAATACCAAAGGGGGATGAATTACCCTTGCTGATACGAAGGCCATAGAGTTGATGATACCAAGGCCATAAAAGGTAGATACTGATGATCCCTCTCAGGAAGCCGGCAAGAGAAACCACCGAGGAAGACACAAGGCTGGTCCCAGCACCCGAGCCACGAGCACTCTCCATGATGCTGCGTCCAGGACTCGATATGGGCCGCGACCGCACAACGACTCTGTTCACATGACGATGGCAAGCTCCGTTAGCTCTTGACAGGCGCAAACGATCCAACGCGAAGTCATACCTCTACTCTGCATTAATCTCACTGGAACGCGGCTACCTCCGAGAGGATCTTCTCGACGAACGAGTCGACGCTCGACGTGCCGAGGACGGCGTTGCCATCACGGGTCCGGACGTTGACCTCGTTGGTCGCCGCTTCCTTCTCGCCGACGACCACAATGTAGTTGTAGCCCGCGAGCTGCGCGTCCCGAATGCGCTTGTTGAGCGTCTTGCCGTGGCCAATCACATCCACGTACACGTCGTGGGCATGCAGCGCCGCGTGCACTTGCTGCGCGTACGCTTCTTGGTGCTCGGTCAGCGGCAGGACGGCCACTTGGCGCGGACTCAGCCAGAGCGGCCACTTGCCCGCCGTGTGCTCGATCAGAATCGCCATCATGCGCTCGATCGAGCCAAGGACCGCGCGGTGGACGATGATCGGCGTGTGCTCGTTGCCGTCGCTGCCGTCGTACTTGAGGTTGAAGCGCAGCGGCAGTTGAAAGTCGAGCTGGATCGTGCCGCATTGGTGCTCACGCTTGAGCGCATCGCGGACTGCAATGTCAATCTTGGGGCCGTAGAATGCGCCATCGCCCGCGTTGAGCGTCCACGGCATGTCAAAGGCGTTGAGTGCCGCCTCGAGCTGCGCCTCGGCCGAGTCCCAGAGCGTCAGGTCGCCCATGTACGCTTCGGGGCGCGTCGAGAGCCGCAGCTACCACCCCGAAATCAATCTCAATACGAAGTGGAAGCTCAAAGCTACCTGAAACTCAAAGCCAAAGACGCCATACACGTGCTTGATAAAGGCGAGGCACGACTGGATTTCGTCTTGGACTTGATCGGGGCGGCAAAAGATATGCGCGTCGTCTTGGTGGAAGCGGCGCACGCGCGTGAGCCCCGTGAGCGCCCCCGACGCTTCGTTCCTACACGTCAATATACATTCATTAGCATTGAGATTCAGATTCAGATTCGAAAGTACCGGTGCAAGGCCGAAAAGTCGGCAAACCGCACGGGCAGTTCGCGGTACGAATAGACCTTATTTTCTTTGAACATGAGGCAGTGGCCCGGGCAGTTCATGGGCTTGAGACCAAAGAGGTCGCCGTCGTCGTCGCTCTGCAAGGCCGCGTGGTTGGCGTGGTCGGCGCACGACATGGGCTTGTCGTCGTCCATGCCCGGGCGCACGCTGTACATGTCTTCCTTGTAGTTCTCATAGTGGCCCGACGTTTCCCAGAGTTCCTACGTGCGATTCAGCTCCCCATCTGAATCTGAATCTGAATCTTTACCTTCTTAAAGATGAGCGGCGTCACGACTTCGTCGTACCCACGCTTGCGGTACTCGTGGCGGATGAAGGAGGCGAGGCGGTTGAAGATGCGCGTGCCATGCGGCAGCATGAACGAGCTGCCGGGGCTCCACGGGTGGAAGAGGAAGAGGCTCTGCGCCTTGCCAATGATCCTACCAAGAAGTGGGGCCTTGATGACCGCGATGGGAATCTTGTACCGATGGTCGCGCTTCTTGGCCTCGGCCTGGAGATGCTTCCATTCCTTCATGCGCGCCTTGTCCGGAAACGTGACACCGTAGACGCGCTGGAGCAGCTCCGAGCCGTGCGTCCAGTGCGACGCGCCGCAGCGGGTGAGCGCGACCGTCTGCAGCATGCCTAGTTGCACGGTGAGGAGTTATAAGCGCAATGGAGAAGAGGAAGAGGATGCTGTCGGTCCAACTGTAGCTCAGTAGGATCAATGCTAGATCGCTGAGGTGTTCGCCAGTCATGCTTTTTTCTTGGATATACATGTGTGCAGGTGGCCATGACCACGATGGACCTGCGTGGCATGGCCACCCGGTATCCGTAGAGTCTGCAGAGAGAGTGGCATGTATGGAGACATACCCGTGTGCGGAAGGTGCGGGCCGCGGCAGAGGTCGACAAAGCTCCCGCACTTGTACAACGTGATGGGCTCGTCGGCCGGGATGTTGTTGAGCATCTGGAGCTTGAACTTGGAGTAGCCAAACATGTCTTTCGCCACGTCGCGCGTCACTTGCAGTCGCTCGAACGGCGCCCGCGCCTTGATGATCTTGGCCATCTCGGCTTCAATGTCGCTAAAGTCATGCTCCGAGAGCGTGCGGCCGGACGGCAGGTACATCTCGTAGAAGAAGCCGTCGGGCAGCGATGGGCCGTCGCACAAGAGCACGTCGTCGCCAAACTTGGCCTCGAGCGCGGCGCCGAGCACGTGCGCCGACGAGTGCCAGAACATGGCCTCCATGCGCTTGTCGTCAAAGTCGTGCAAGGCGACGTGCGTCGTCGTCTCGGGAAGCGGTCGTGAGAGGTCCCACACAATCTGTTCGTCCGTCTCGGTTGAGATCGTCGCGCCAACCACGGGCGGGATCTTGGCACCGGTCGCTTGCGTGAACTGCTGCATCGCTTGCAGCGGCGTGGCTGCCATCGTCGGCGAATACGGCGTCGCGACCGAGGGTACGACCAGCTGCACCGTCGCCGGCGGGGTCGCGCCCGTCGCCGCCCGCGCCTGGCGCGCGAGCTCCGCGTTCCACTTCTCGAGGCGCGTCGCCGCATGGCTCATGCACCGGACCGTACGCAGGAAGCTGCTCGGGCGGTCGCCACAGCGGCCGGCCATGCAGAGAGCGCAGCATCTTCCGTCCACCACAGGAACAACTCCAATGT